TGCATCTTGAGTTAATCTTTCAAAAGAGTGCAAAATGTCTAGATTCATTGTTTTGCAGGTGAATGTCTAGTCATTCTAGCACCATTTGTTGGAAAGAATCTTTCCTCCATTTCATTGCCTTTGCTCCTGTCAGAGAGCAGAAGACTATTTATGTGGCCTATTTGAGCTCTCTGTTCTCTTCCATCAATCTATTCTTTTACCACTACAACACTGTTTTAATTAACGTAGCTTTATAGTAAATCTTGGTTTGTTTGTTTTTTATCTTTGAGTCATCTCCACACCCAATGTGGTGCTCAAACTCACAACCCCAAGACCACACTCTTCTTACTAGGACAGCCAGCTGCCCCAAGCTTTATAGTAAGTCTTGAAGTCAGGCGGTTTCAATCCTCCAACTCTGTTCTTCTCCTTCAATGCTGAGTTGGCTATTCTGGGTCTTTTGTCTCTCCATAGAAACAGGTTGTCAGTATCCACAAAATAAGTTGCTGGAATTTTGACTGCATTGAATCCACGAGCAAGGTTGGGAAGAACTAACATCTTGACAATACTGAGTGTATCCATGAATATTAAATATCTCTCCATTTATGTAGTTGCTCTTTGATGTCATTCATCAGAATTTTCCAGTTTTCCTCATATAAATCTAGTATGTGTTTTGTATTGTGTTAATAATGTAAACAGTATTGTGTTTGCAATTTCAAATTCCATTTGCTCATTGCTAGTGTAGAAAAAAACAACTGTTTCATGGATATGTGCACGCATCAAAACTTGAATTGTACACTTAAAATATGTGCAATTTGATGCATGGCAATTATACCTCAATAAACCTGTTCATTAAGAAAAGCAAACTTAATAGGCAAAAGACTCTAACAAGAAAGATATTGAACATACAATTCATCAAAGATAAATGGATGACAAGTACAAGTTCAACATCATTAGTCTTTAAAACCTGTGGGTCAAAAAAAAAAAAGGAAAAAAGACAAAAACTGTGGGTCTACTTTGAAAAAAGACACACACACAAAAAGGAAACTCATTTAAATAATGATTTTCCCGATTTTCTTTGCCAGTACCAATTTTCTTATATACAATAAGTGAAAATCTGTACTATAATACTATCCCAATTTTTTATACTTTTACATTTCATTTAAATACCTTTTGTAACAAAAGTTTTTCATTTTTCATTTAGTGGCACCTAGGTGGCTCAGTTGGTTAAGCGTCCGACTTCGGCTCAGGTAATCATCTCACAGTTTGTGGGTTCGAGCCCCACTTCGGGCTCTAGGATTTCAATTTTTTTTTTAAATTTTTTTTTTAATTTATTTCTAGGAGAGAGAGAGAGAAAGCGTGAGCAGGGGAGGGTCAGAGAGAGAGGGAGACACAGACTCTGAAATAGGCTCCAGGCTCTGCTCTGGCAGACAGCACAGAGCCCGACACGGGGCTCGAACCCACGAACCGCAAGATCATGACCCAAGCGAAAGTCGGACGCTTAACCGACTAAGCCACCCAGGCGCCCCTAGGATTTCAATTTTTATAAAAATATATGGAAGCTACTTGCTGAAAGCAGATTGCTTTCACATTCACAATCTAACATGACTTATTTCATGTAAAACAAATTAAGCCTTTTCCATAATGCCTTCATTTATAATTTACCATTCCTGTCCAGTGTGAATTGTTTCTTAATAACAAAAAAGACTTTCCTATATCTCTTTCCCTCTTAGGATTTCTTCTAATGTGTGCGTTCAGATTCTCCCCTAAATGAAGGATAAAACAGAAAAATAATCCTCTCCTTCTCACATTTATAAGATTTTTCACACCTGTGAAATCATAACTGAATAGGAAAATACAAGACAGAGCTAAAGGTTTCCTACATTCCTCATAATAAGGTTACCTTCACAATGAATTAGTACATGTTTAATAAGAGAAGTATTAAAGGCTTTCCCACATTCTCTGGAAACATAACTTTCTCTCGTGTGAATTCTTATACATTCAGTAAGCATGAAGCAGTACTAAAATTGTCGCCACATTTCTCATCTATATATAGCTTTTCCCCACAGTTGACTGTTAAATGTGAAATCAGATATGTGGGTTGAGTAAAGGCTTTCCCACATTTCTTACATTCAAAAGGTCGTTCACCAGTGTGAGTTCTCATGTGCACTGTAAGGCTTGATGAAATAGTGAAGGCTCTCCCACATTGCTTACATTTATATGGCTTCTCTCCAGTATGTGTTCTTCCATGTTGAGTAAGGTGTGAGGGATATCTAAATGATTTCCCATTCCTCACATTCAAAATGTCCTTCTACACTGTGAATTTTAAAAGTTGAATAAGAAATGAGGAACGAATAAAGGCTCTCCCACACTGCTTACAATCATAAGTTTTCATTTCCGGGTGTGTTTGCATGTGACTTTCAAAGCAAGATAAGTTACCAAAGGCTTTCTTTTCCACATCCCTTACATTAATAAGGCTTCTCTCCAGTATGAGTTCTTATATGTATAGTAAGATATGAGGACCTAGCAAATGCTTTTCCACATTCCTTACATTGATAAGGCTTCTCTCCAGTGTAAGTTCTTCTGTGTTTTATGAGACCTAAAGAATCAGTGAAGGTTTTCTCACATTTACTACACTCACGGTTTTTCTCCGGTGTGAACTCGCATGTGAATTCAGTTTTGATAAACAAGTAAACTCTTTACTACATTCCTTGCAAACAGTGTTTCTCTCTAGTATAAAAATGTCCTGTTTGGCAAGATCTGGGGAACAAGTTAAGGCCTTCTCAAATCTCTTACATTCCATAGGCATTAGTTCCCTTAGAGTTCTTAAATGCTGAATAAGATACCAAGATCAACAAATGGTTTTCCCACATTCTTTAGACTTGTAGGACTTTTTTCCTATTGTGAATCTGAACATGTACGAAAAGACTTGTAGAAAGAGAAAAAGCTTTCCCACATTTCTTGAAAGCATATGGCCTGTCTCCACTATGAATTCTTAACTCCTCTAAGGTGTGAGGAAAAAGGCCTTTCTGACAGTCCATTTATAGGATTTCTTTGGAGTGTAAGTTTTCTTGTGATCCAGATGTGGATTTTGGCTTAAAGTGTTTCACACTGGTTATAGTTAGGAGGTTTCTCTCCATTATTGGTTTTGTTGTGTGGATTAAGGGTAGAGTTCTTTGTGAAGGCTTTTACACACTGATCACACACGTTTTCTTTCTAATGTGAGTTCTCTTGCAGTCTTAAAGAAGAAGTGTTCACTCAAGGCTTCTTCCCAATGAATAAAATAAAACAATTCCTCTCCAATATGTTTCTCTCCTGTTGAAGAAGAGATAAGTGATGTTTTATAAAAGTTTTCCAGCTTTATTACTTTCAGAGATCCTCCCCTCTGTCTTGAATTGTTAATAGTATACAGGAAAGAAATCAGCATGACTGAAGTTTTTTGTTTTCTCTTCCATTTTCACTGCATGCAATGCATAGTTCCAGACCTGAGTGCTCCAAGCAGACTGCACAGACCATTCTGCTAAAACATTATTTTGTAATATTTTTTTTTCTTTGTAGTCTTTACTTTCACAGAGATTCTTAGTAAAGTTTAGCTGATAATTGATCAAGATAAAATTATTTTCCAAAATCTTTATCAGAATTGTATATATGGAAATATTGAGCTAACACCATGAGAATATATTTTAGGGAGTAGTTGAAGTGTTTGTCAATTTCACAATGTTCAGAGACTCTATGAGAAACAGTTTCATTTGGAATAATAACACTAACCCCAAGTGTCTGTTATGGTTTTGTGCTGCTTTTCAATCTTATGGAATTTCCAAACTTCCACTGGCGTAGAAGGCAAGGAATTACACACTGAATCTTACCAATTCTACCACATTGGATGTTTTCCCCTGCAAAATATTCTGCTGAGGTATTGACCATTTGGTATTAAGACAAATCTCCCAATCTGAAATAAGATTAAAACAAAATTAAGGTCTTGGAGACAAATGATGTTAAGACGGTGTTAAAATAAAGGCCAATGCCTATTTACTTTCAAAGAATGACAACATAGATTACAATAGAAAAAATAAATGAACATATAAAGATTGAAAAGTCTAACTACCTTATGAGTTTGGCAAGGAAAATGGGTGCTGGTCAAATTGGTAGGTGATTCTCTAAGAAAGAATTCTATACATGTCGAGACTGATGGTGAAGAGGAAGACTAAGAAAACAAACTTGAAATAAAATGGGTGAAAAACTAAATGCAAAATTTAATGCAGAAACAAATCTTATTGTCAGGTCAAAAGGAAGTTTCAGAATGTGGATGAAAAGTTAAAGAGAAGTCTGAAGTACTCAAGGAGCCTCAGAAACCAAAGGTACCAGCATCTCAGGAAAATCCATCTTCAAAAGCTTCCTATATAACATTACCAAATGGACTGCAGCTCTCATGGATTCCTGCTGTTTTTCATAGAGAATCATTTCTCCCTTTTCCCTGACTTTGCAGAACTTCTCCCATTAGCCTCAGCTTTCCCTTCTGTTCCACCTGAAAGATCAGACCAGGCCTGCATAGCTAGTACCTGGCTCTCAGAGGAAGATGATCTTTCAAATGAAACTAAAATACAAGCACACACTTTCTCACCGTTCACCAAAAGGGGTGCCGACCTTTCCCCTGAAACCCAGGCTCAAATTTTTATACGAGTTTTTAGGTCCTAAGCCTTTCAATCCATACAGAAAATAAAGCCAGTACAACAAACAGATCTTTGTTTTCAAGAGGAAGTCACTTCAAGGTAAGGTCTAGGAGAGCAGAAACAGCACCTGCTCTTTTTACTACTGCATTGCCATTAGTCAGCACAGAGCCTAGAACGCAGTCACTTAAGCAAGGGGAGCCTACCTGGCTCAGTCGGTAGAGCATGCGACTCTTAATCTCAGGGTCACGGGGTTAAGCCCCACACTGGGCATGGAGCCTACTTTAAAAAACCAAAAACAAAGAAAGTTTTCTTCCAGAAAAAGCTAAATGAAGAGATGGTACCAGCCTTACCTACTGCAACCAGATTCTTGTGGTTCTCCAGCATCTCATCTCTGTACAGGTTTCTCTGATTGGATCCAGCAAAGTCCACTCCTCCTGGGTGAATTCCACAGCCACATCCTCAAGGGTCACTGGATCCTACACCATCACAAACATCCTGGCATCACGCAATCTGCCACGTAAATCAGTGTTCACTGGAGAAAGAGAACGGGAGACCCAAAGCTTAGACAGGGTTCCGTGTTGTCCCATCATCTCTTCCAGGGCTTGATGGTCCTCATAACCATTCTCTTCTCGACCTCTACCAGTGACATACTCGATGGTGACCTCATCCACTCACGTAGCTTTTAAGAGCACGTCTTTCACCTGGCTGCACGTGTCTCACCACAACCACACTGTACTCTTTTCTAGTCTCATTATGCTCTAATGACAAGACTTACCATGGTCTGAACACATTACAGACACAGTAAATGCTGGCAATGAGTGAAACATTACTTCAGGGACAGCACAAATTCTGAAAAACACAGAACCCAACAAAAAAAAAAAAAAAAAAAAAAAAAAAAAAAAAAAAAAAAAAAAAAAAAGAGAAGAAAAAAAAAAAAAAAAAAAAAAAAAAAAAAAAAATTACATAAAAAAATTAATAAACACAAAAAACATCCTGAACCCTGAGGAAATTGAACTGAGAACTCAGTCCATGTAAAGGGCATAAATGCACCAAGAAACTCTTGTTCCATCAGAAGAAAACATGTCTACCTGGTAGGAAGAACATGTACTTTTATAAAAGAATGAATGTCCTACTTACCTGAGAATAATTGTCAGACACCCAGTCGCTGTCCTTTCTCCTACTGATTTCTCCTCATGAAGACAGAAAAAAATCTTGGGAAAGATGACCTTGGGGAGAAGAAATAAAACCTGAGAACCCAGGCTGCTCGAAGTCTCCACACAGAAGCCTGGAAGCCACTCCACACTGATTCTAAGCTCCTGGGCAGCCTGCCTCTTCTGGAATCAGGAGGGTTTGGGTTTAGGGAGGAAGAGTTTAATAATCCCAGTTTACAGATAAAGAAATTTAAAGTTTAGAGAGGTAAAGATGTTGTTTTCTTTTCAAGTTTATTTATTTGTTTTGAGAGAGAGACAAACAGAAAGAGACAGAGAGAGAGAAAGTGGGGCAGGGGCAGAGCTAGGGAGAGAGGATCCCAGCAGACTGCACCACCAGCGCAGAGTCCAAAGTGGGGCTAGAACTCATGAACCGTGACATCATGACCTGAGCTGAAGTTGGACACTTAACTGACTGAGCCACCCGGGTGCCCCAAAGTTGGTTTCTTTGGACAATTATCGTGATTCTCAGGTGATTAAGCAGAACGTCTCCCACAAAATATCCATCCTCATCCTTTCTTCCCAAATCTAAGGATTCAGACACCACGGTGTTCTTATGCACTTAAGCCCTGAGACACCACACAAAGAGAACTGTTTAGACCTTGACAAGCCAGGCTGTTCACAGGCCAATTGAAAGCAGTCTCTGATGGGAGCATCAACAAGGACTTACCAAAGGAGGAAAGATCAATGGCTGGCATCCTGTGGGTATGACAGTAAAATCTGCTTGAGCCCTTCTCATTCCCAATGTCCTTCAAGACAGTGTCTGCGCTGGGTGGATAAGTCCATCTCAATTCCTCTTGATTAAGTAGCAGTGGATTCTCGCCACATACCATCAAATATTAACCACTAGGCATTACTCAGCTATCATGAGGCTTTGTTCATTAGTCAGCGCTGCAGAAGGTGAAGTTATATTACATAAAAGCCGCCAGAAACTGTAGAGTAATATACCACATGAATATAAATAACAATTGCCATTTCCTGAGTACCTGTTATGTGCCACAAGCTGTGGTAGCTCAAAGGATTATCAACATGGTTATTATTACCATCATTTAACAGTCGAGGCAACCTGCGTTGAGACAGGAGCAGTGACCAATTAGGAAGAGTCCGAATCTGAATACAGGTTACTCCATCTCATAAGCCTGAACGTCTGAAGTTATTGTTACTCTCTAACATATCTGGACGACCCTCATGAGATGGTGTGCAACAACTGAGTAACCCAGGTCTGGGATGCTCAAATCCTGCACTTTCCTGAGAAAGGCTTATCTTCAGACCTACTCTTGGCTGGGCTTGTGGGAGAGGTCCATGGAATATCCTGCCTGATAAGAATGTTTTGTATGCCTGAGTCCTTGTGGCCACAGATACTCTGACCAGATAGTTTATGCTAACAATGTGATTTATGGTAAACATGCTTTTATATGCCTGCAGCTTCGGGCAGTGTTCTTCTAACAGTCTGATCTCAGGCTGGAGCCTAAGTGCCTGAAGTCAGCCATGCAGGTGGTGTGTGCCTATAGGACTGACCCACAATAAAAACTTAGGACACCAAAGCTCAGGTGTTATAGATGGAATGTTTACACCTCCGTGCATCTTCATGTATGAAACTTAAATCCTCAGTGTGATGGTTTTTGGAGGTGAGGACGTTGAGCGGTAATTATGGGTTTAGTGCCTTTGTGAAAGAGAACCCAGAGGGTTACCTTGCCTCTTCTGTCATGTGATGACACAGTGAGGACTGCCTTTACTAACCAGTAAGGAGGTCCTCCCCTGACACCAAATCTGCTGGCATCTTTTGATTTTTCCCAGCCTTCAGAACTGTGAGAAATTTCTGTTGTTTATAAGCCACCCAATCTGCAGTATTTTTGTTACCACAGCCCAAATGAACAGCCTACTGTATCAGGTGAGCTTCCTTGGTTGGCTATACTTCGCATGTGATGCAACACATCATTACTAGGATTACGCAATGCCCATTTATCTACACTGGGAAAAGACACCTGGATGCCTGTGCCTGGTGGTTCCTGGAATTAATCCCATGTGTCTTATCTATCCCTTTGCCGATTCGAATCTGTATCCTTTGGTTGTAATAAACTATAATGGGTTTAACAGCAGGAGTTTTGTGAGTCCTATAGCATCGCAGAGCAGAAGAGTGGTCTTGAGTATCCCCAGCACAAACGGTTTATTTAATCAGAAGTCTTTGAGCTCCTCCGGCTGGCAAAAACACCTAGCTCCAGTTGCCTTCCTCAAGTCCTTATATCAGCTTATGCCTTCATTCAATATGCAAATATTTATTTAGGTCCTTTTCTTTGCTACATAATATAGTAGGAATTGAGGAGGGTGCAGTGAACAGAAAATGCCCCCATACCTTAGTCTTTTTCACATTCCAAGGGCCAAGCAGGTAATAAACACAGAAATTTGTATTCTATCAGTTGGTGATGAATGCTAGGGAAAAAAAAAATATGAACAGATCAGGAATATTATCCTCTGCCTCCCCCAACACACACATACACACACCTCCAAGGATATTTCTCAGCAAACTTAGGACTAGCAGTGGGAAAGATAAAGACAGAACAGGAAAACAATCATTTCAGAAGACTCTTGAAAACTGACATCTGACTTGCCTTTTTGAGGCCAGTGATATTCAACTTTTGATCCAAAGCGATAGCATAATTCAAACAAACAGAATATACAAAATAAACTCAGAATACATTTCAAATACTGCTCTACTTCAATCAGGAATCAGGTTAGAAACAGCTCACATAAGAGATGTGATCCTCTCCCCTAGGTTTTATGGGTGTAAAATGTACAGGGTAGATGGAGTTCTAAATCAGACTGTGCCCAAGTTTACTTCTTCCACAAAAACCTCACCTCTCCTTTTTTTTTCATTAAATTTTGCCTTTTTTATTCCTTCCTTACCTATGCTTTATGTTCATTTTGTTGGTCCTTTTGAGCACTTGGAAACTATAGCTGAGTTCATTTCTCAAACATTTTATTGAAGTATACATTCAAACAAGTGCAGGCCTACAATGTACAGGACATTACCTTGAATTTCTTGACCCCTGAAGCACTTATATGCCTCAACTAAATTACCTCTTTCTCCTCTCCAAATGGAAGCACTATTCTGCCCTGTAAAACTGTAATTCTGCCTATTTTTGAACTTTGTATCAAATCATATGGTTTGCATTAACTGGTGTCTAGCATTTGCTATTCAGTATCCTAGGCCCAGCCTCAGAGCTCCTTGTAAAGTCTAGTTTTAGCAAGAACCCTGCTAATTAAGTCAGTTTAACCAAAACTGTCAATACATGATCACCCTCTAATATCTGATCTGGCTCCTCATCCTCTACCATTTCCCCGGTGATGTCTCATCAATCTATTATTTATTTAATTTATTTTTGAAAGAGAGAGACAGTGCAAAAGGGGGAGAAAGGGAGGGATGGAGAGAGAGCAAGGGAGGGAGAGGGAGGGAGGGAGGCAGAGAGAGGGATGGACAGAGGGAGAGAAAGAGAGAGAATGAATCTGAAGCAGGCTCCAGGCTCCCAGCTGTCAGCACAGAGCTCAACACAGGGATTAAACTCATGAGCTGTGAGATGAGGCTGAGCTCAAGTGGGACACTAAACTGACTGGGCCCCTCAGGTCCCCGTTTTTGTTTTTTTTTTTTAAGTTTATTTATTTTGAGACAGAGACAGCATGAGTGGAGGAGTGGGAGGGAGTGAGGGATAAGGAGAGAAGGAATCCAAAGCATGCTCCGTGCTGCGCAGTGACTGGTGCAGGGATGGAACCCACGAAACTGTGAGGTCATGACCTGAGCCAAAACCAAGAGTTGGACACTGAACCAACTGAACTACCCAGGCAACCACTGATCTGTCTTTCGTAAGAATCCTGTTAGGTCATTTGGCCAGAATGCCCCTTACCTCTCATGTTTCCTCTTAGCAATTTTCTATTCATTAACCCCCATTCTGGTGTCTGCCTATAGACTTCCACTTGCGTATGCAGTACTCAGTTGGAGTTGAGCCTGAGCTCTCCCTACGTTGAAAAATCCCATTGCAGTCATCCCTACAGCTATCTCAATGCTCCTGAGAAAAGTCTGCCTTACCATCTTTAAGAAATGTCACTGAATATTTTTTTCTTTAACACCTTGCCTGAATCTCTCCCTAGTCATAATACCCAGTTCTCTAAAACATTCCATATTAGACACAGATGCTCTAACATATGAATGATAAATTAAAATTCAGTCTTTAGCAGTCACAGATTGGCTTATTAAAATGTAACCCCATGGACCCCCAGGTAAAATAGTTACTAGGGTCAATTAAATTTAAAACAGGGTCTTCAAGAGTGAAAACTTATGATATAAAACCTAATTAATAAAGGGGTGGTTATTCCCAACAACTTTTCCATTTGACAGCCCAATTTTGCTTTTTCTTAATCCCGGAGGGGAAAAAAGGTGCCTTATGATGTATTACCATAACTGAAACTCTGTGGTTCCATCTATTAGGGGCCCCATACCCCACTTCAATATTATTAAAAATCGTGGCTCCATTCAATCAACAATCAGTAAATATTTTGCTCTTACAGACTGGGTAACATGTTCTGTTAAGTGTCGATTTTTTAAAAAACAAATTTTTTTCTAGGAGAGAGAGAGAGACAGCATGAGCAGGGGAGGGTCAGAGAGAGAGGGAGTCACAGACTGAAACAGGCTCCAGGGTCTGAGCTTGCAGTCAGCACAGAGCCTGACGCGGGGCCCGAACCCACGACCGCAAGATCATGACCTAAGCTGAAAGTTGGACGCTTAACCGACTAAGCCACCCAGGCGCCCCAGTTCAGTGCCCATTTAAATAGGCTCTCAAGCTGCAATTTGCCTTCACCTCTGAAATGTATCAAACTGATCACCTAATCATGCAGAGAAAAGACATGCAACTGTTTGAGCAGGGTATTCTGAACTTTATATCCTTAATATAAACCCATAAGGACAAAAATAAATGTAAAGAAACTTAACAGTTTACGAAGTCTAATGTTGACAGTAACACTGGTATTGCATTTTTTGAAACTACTATACACAAACTGTAGGATAAAACAGTATGTTAATGCTATTAGGAACCAACAGCATTTCCTACAACAGCAAAGAGTTACAAGTATAAAACAAGAGTTAAGCAAAAAACCCCACACCAAACCCAGAATATTAAGCTTTGCCTGGGAACATGAGTATGAACTTAAGACGTAAGGAAACACGTATTTTACATCCACTGAAAGGTCCAGACATGATTATACCCAAGCAGCACCAAGCCCATGAATCATAGACCCTGACGTCTAAAAGGAAACAAGCTTTTTGGAGAAGTCATTGGTGACAGGTCTGAAACAAAGTACACAGTGAAGTGAGGGTTTATTTTACACTTAAAGACTAACAGCCTTGTGTTTAAAGACTAATAGAACTCACATTGAAGAGGGGCGCCTGGGTGGCTTAGTCGGTTAAGCGTCCGACTTTCGCTTAGGTCGCGATCTCGCGGTTCGTGGGTTCGAGCCCCACGTCGGGCCCTGTGCTGACTGCCAGCTCGGAGCCTGGAGCCTGTTTCAGTCTGTGACTCCTTCTCTCTCTGACCCTCCCCTGCTCACGCTGTCTCTCTCTCTCTCGTAGAAGTAAATAAAACATTAAAAAAAAAAAAAGAACTCACATTGAAGAGACAACGATTCAGAAGGCACACTTGGGACAGGTTGAGCATCAAAATAAATGACAAGAACGGATTTTAAAATAGTGAATGAAAGAAAAGCCCAAGAATATGAAGTGATACTCCAGAACGGAAAAAAAAAGTAGAGAGGACGCAAGAGTGGGGAAGGAAAGCCGCAGACTAAAGAATGGAGAAGGAATGACACAATTAGGAAAAACATCATTCTGTAACCCCTCTCCTCCGGCATGCAAAAACAGGTTGAGGCAAAGACTGACAAGTGATGCTGAAACCCTTGGATGAAAGGCTGTTAGGAAACGGACTGTTCCCGTTTCCAAGTCGGAGTACCAAAAAGAAATTATGTGCCTGTTTGAGAGAGAAGGGCACCTTCACTAGACGCGTCTCGTCCCTAATGAACAACGGGACAACCTGAACATTCGTGCTTCCTGAATGGGATACAATACAAAGTACACAGAAACGGTCCGGCATCTGAACTTGCAGTCTAACCCAGGAGCCTCTCTGTGGCTGCCGTGAACATAAAATGTGGCTCCTGTGACTGAGAAGTTATTTTCTTAACTTTATTTACTTTTATTTCATTCCATTTTAGAAATAAAATTGATTCAGTTACTAAAAAAAAAAAAAACTTTTCAGTATGTAACAACAATCTGAGTTTGGAGATCGTTTTCAACAGTAAAAGCTAAATACAGATCAGGGATTTCCAATGAAAATGCAGCATCCACAATGAGATCCGGCATCCTCACCAGATTCCAGCAACTTACTACAAAAGAAACAAAATTTCTCATAAATAATTCCCTACTAGCTGCATTTGTCATTAATTTTACACTCATAGCCGGATAAGTTGGAGTAAATAAAACATACCAGAAATAATTTCACAGCTACATTTAACGTTTTAATTGGCTATACTAAAAATTATAAACAATCACACCTGTGTCTCTGTGATACTTTTAGGAGACAGGCCTGCTCTAGACCCAACGTCCGCTTTACAAGCAAAAGACATGTTAATTAAATAATGAAATGAAATCATAAGAAAACAACATCGTATCTGAATGCCAACATTTTACAATGTAGCTCTCCTGGAACCTTCAAGAACCAAAATTAATTTTAATTGTTTTAACAGCAGGCAAGTGTTTTAGATAACAGAGACCACAGATCTAAATGCAAGGTGCAAATCTTGTGCGGGTCCTAGCTCCAAAAAAATCCCGACAACTGTAACTGGAGAAAGTTTACTTTCTTGGACGGACAGTGGAGTTCGGGTGTCAGGAGACTGTCCTGATTATTAAAGGATGCATATGCTTCGATTACAAGGGGAAGCGAATGTCTGCAACTTACCATTAAATGGCTCATCATAAGAATACACAGGACTAGAGACAAACCTTAGCAATTAGTGAACGTGGGTGAAGGTTCTACGGATGTTCGTTTTATTAGTGCTACGGACTTTCTAAACGGATTTCTAAAGAATTTCTAAACGGATACCCGAAAGAAAAGCCCGCCTGTCAAAACCTCCCCTTACCTAGGGTGAATTCAACTCCAGCTAACGGCAACCGGCCCGCCGCGGCTTTGCTCTGACTCCTACAGTCGAGGCTTCAGGCATTTGCAAGGCTCGGCCGCGCTGAGTTTTCTACCTTACGCGATTTCACTCAGTCAGACGTTTAACGTCGATAAGCAACACGGCGAAGA